CCTTGCCACGAGTAAAGAATTCATTAGATAATATAAAAATTTTAAATGTATAATCATCTAGGTTGTTTTATTTTAATAAATGCTTTTCAAGAGGAGTTTATTTTTACAAAGGTCTAACGATTTGTGTAAAGCATAGTTGCATTTTTTATGGCCTTTCGGATCAGCAGTTGACTGCCCAAATTATTTGTTGCAAATTCTTTTTTCAAATTCATGGAGAAGGTAGGTTCATATATATTGGCCAATGAGAGGTGAGATTTTTGACCCCTTGTGAAATTTTGGATGGAACCAGTATGACCCTGCTTTTTCAATAAAAAGGACTGCTATGAGCAGATAGAGCAGAGAAAGAAGGAACTGTTGAGGAAGAAGTTGTTACCACCCACACTTCAAGAGGACTGGTCCAACTGAAGGGGTCAACACAGGGTAGGGGGAAAGAAAGAGCCAGCAGATTCAAAGCAGGACAAAATCATTCCTTTCTGTGAAGAATTTAAACCGAAATAACTTTAACTTTCCAGCAAAGTACTATGAAAAGCCCTCGAGATAGCAACCTGTGAAAACATGAAACCCCCTTCATGCTGAGACATTCTATTATTGAATATTCTGTTAAGAATGGAGGCAGGTGCGTTTTGGATTTTCTGCCTTGTGTAATTTTTTGCTCTTTTTTTCCCCCTTTTTTTCCATTTTCAAAGCGTGTAATCTTTTTTGTCATTGAAACCGTGACTTTCTAAAAATTGTAACACTTTTTCCGTATATCTGATGGTAATCCGCTTTTTGAAATTGTAATTGTAAAATGTTTTTTTTCCTTTTAAAATCTTATGCATTGGTTTTGTTTTGTAATCTTGTGACTATTATGTTTTGATATTCCTACTAGACTAAGTTTTTGTGTCTGGCACAAGATCTTGGATAGGGAATCAAATTTTTATAAATAATCTTGGGGTCATGTTTGGTTTCATCATTATAATTGAGCAAGTCCCAGCAGTACCTTTTATTATGGAGTTTGGAATTGTTTGTGTGGTCTTGCAGGAATGATGTATTTTACACATTGCAACCTCCTTCCCATAGAGGCAATATTACAAGTTGACTATTACTCTCTTGATATTTACATGGCAGATATTCAGATAAGGTCTATTTTTTTTTAGTTCCTCCAGTTCAGACCTTTATAATTAGGACATACAATGCCACTTCCATGGAGTTGAATCACTCTCATTTCCTCTGTATTCTAAATGTAAGTGGAAAGTTCCACTTGGCAGTTCTTTTTGGAAAACAAATTGTCTATTTTGTGCCAGACTGCCATATGGTTGCTTCTCTTAATACTTCAAATGTGACCCATTCAAGTCAAGGATCAATCGTTATCTATCCTCCTTATTGTAATAATCTTCACTCTCTTCCACCTTTTCTTTCATTCCTGTCATACACTTCATTCAGCATGGCCATTTTACTGTAACCCTCTACCTTGAGTGGCTCTTGAACTTTGTATTAGGATATGGCTTGGATTAATGACTTGGAGAGCTGAATTCGAATTCTAGTTGGATCCGTTATATTCACTTATGTGCTAATAACCTTGGGAAAGGTATGGATCCTCTTCTTCTCTCCCCAGCTATGGATAAATAGCAAGACAGACTGGGTTATATAGCCTTGTGTGGCAACCAGCCTAGGAAAAAGTAACTCCGAATTCAAAGCTGTATGTATTGCTGGCATAACACATACTATACAGCTAAAGAAAGGATTGTTCACATTGGCTCAATGATTCTGCCTACAGTTGAATAATGATAAAACAGCAAGCAGGCACCTTTGTTGATTTTCTTCAGTTTAGAAATATCAAATGAAAATGTAATGTCATTATATACTTTCTTTTATTGACAGCTTTCCGCTCATTTTTATAATTCTCTATTTTTCATATATTCAGCCATCAATTATAGCTTATATTTCCAGCTTATGTGTCCTTATATTATCAAGTTTAAAGTGGATGTAAAAGATGAAAAATGATGAAAGTTATTGGCATCAAGGAAAAGATGACAAGTATTTTAGGAAGAAAACATTGTAGGCATTAAGTTTAAAATGGAAGAAAAAATGAAAAATATAGTTTTCATCTTTTTCCTTCTATTTGAAACATGATGCCTTTTCTTTTTTATATATGACCTATTCAATTATATGGCCTATTCAATTATATGACCTATTCAATTACATGACTCGCCTAATTATATGACCTATTATTATTATTTTTTTTTTTTACTAAATGGTCACACAATACAAGGCCCAAGAACCACTCAAGGTAGTGTTACTGAGTAAGGTTGTTGTATGAATGTAAGAAGATAAAGTAGGTGTAGATTATGAGGATATGGATAGGTGACACTTGACCTGAGACTTGAAGAAGTTGTAATGATCAGGAAAGTATGATCTTGGGAGTCTTTTCCACTAAGCAGCAGCTCTTGAGGGAACTTAGTGGAACTTCCTATTTACCAATAGAATAGGAAGAGAATTACAATGATTTGATTGGTTTATGTGACATGGTGTGCACTAGTGTCAAAGTCTGAACTGGTGGAAATAAGGTCTGTAATTTGTTGCCATGGAAATAGCAATAGAAGAGTTATAGGCTTGCTATGTTTGTGTGGGAAGTAGGTTTAGGATTCTAGAAAGTGAGGATAGTGCAGATCCGGCCCAGTTATAACACCAATACTCCATTTTTGATTTGATTTGGTCTTTAAAGATAGTGCATGGCATGTAGAGTTGGGTACTTTCTGGAGTGACACAAGCAATCAATCATTTTCCCAGCATCTTTAACAACAGAGTGGCTATATGAGTTTCACATGAGATTTGGGGTTAGCTTGAGTCTCAATAGATGTTCAAGGTATGGAGCCAATGGCGGTGTCCTACTTGTTCGCACAAACCAATTCTTAAAATTATTAAAGCTTAGGAAACTGGTTGTTGGATTATCCAAAAATAATATTGTGTATTAATAGCCGATACATAATAGGTAAAAATATAATTAATACCATTGCTGCAAGTTTTGCAGAGGCTGAAAGAGGGTTTTCTATGAACATAATTCTGACAAAAGAAATTCTCTTGAAGTTAAACATGTGGCAAGTTTTCTAGTCATAAATTTTCAAGGGCTTCCATTGGATCTTTGGGACTGCAGTGATTTACTTTGGCTAAGAAACCATAACACAGCTGACAACACTAAAGACTAAAAACATCATACTTCTGAATAGAAATATGATGAGAACAAGATTTAAAATCTGGAAAAATCTTAATAAATAAATGTTTATTATTTACATTATTCAGACTATTGTCCTCATCTTTGTCACCATATTTATTACAATGTTTCGGCCGTTGTACGCTCCGGCTTTCTTCAGGTGGTTGGAATGTCAAACTAAACCCTTTATTTCGCTCACTGAGGTAGACTGTTCTAGTTCCATGTGCCATTTTTTAGTGGATGTCAGTTATCAGTTATCTCCTGTTAATTTCCCTCTGAAAGTTCTCCACTGCCTTTAACCGGGTATTGAACTCACACACTTTGGGTCCTGTCACTGGATCTAACCAACGCCTTTATGTGAGTGAAATAAAGGGTTCAGTTTGACATCCCAACCACCTGAATAAGGCCAGAGCGTACAACGGGCGAAACGCTGTAATAAATATGGCCGACAAAGATGAGGACAATAGTCCGAATAATGTAAATAATACCTCATCTCAGAAATATAGACAGATACTGAAATAAATGTTTTCTATTAAATTATCAAAATGGTTCAATTCTTTTTTGATACTATATAAAGTGATTTGTTTCCATTCTCATATTGAAAAGAAAATAAGCAGAATATATACCTAAAGATTATCTGCCTATATAGAACTAGTTCCAGGAAATTTGGGATGTCACTATTGTATGGAGCTTGTAGTAAAATTGCCACGTTCTGTTGTCATGAGTTTGGATGTAAACAACATTGCTTGTTGTTGGCATTCAAATTCATGGCAAGACTGGGGTGGAGGGGGGGGAATACTTCATCTCATGCCCAGAAGATACAGATGCTTTTTTCTTTGGCTGTGTAGTTTCATTAATATTTTTTGATGATTGTTTTTTTTTTTTTTTTGTTTTTTTTAGCACGGTAATAAACAAAAACAAAAACAAAAAAATAATTGCATGTACAAGAACTTGTGTTGATATTTGTTAAAGATTGGCATTCATCAAACTTGCCACATGTTTGTGAGCTTCAAAACAGTTTACAGACATTTTAACGTCATACATTGTTACATTTTATATAAATATATACACACTATGTATTTTTTTGAATTGTTAATTTATATCAGTTTCAGTAATCAGAAAATAAACAGATAAAACATTTTGAAAATTTTGATTTGTGATTTACAACAGGGTTTTTTTTTTTGAAAATTGGGATGAATTGAACACTAATCTTTTTTTGTCCTGTTAAGGTTATTTTATCTTTGGAATGTTTTATTTATTTATTTATTTTTTTGGGAAATTGGTCATATATTTGGATTTATGGATCATCTTTAGACTCGGATCCTTTTGTAATTTAAATATATTCCTATCAGCTGTATTGTAAATGCCAAAGAGTCTTATGTGGCTCTTGAGCCATGGTTTGGCAACCTGCTGTATCAATGAGGAGTTAGAAATCCAACCATAACACAACTTTTGATGTTTGTTGTATCTGCCTCGCACTACATATTCTTTGGAAACCATATAATGCAGCTGTTTTTGAATCTGAAAAAAAAACCTTTATTGCTTTTATGATTTTAATTTCTATTCCCTATCTTTTAATATCAATGTGCTGTCATGTGATCTGAATATGAAACCTTTAGCTTCCATCTTGAAATTATTTTGAGTCTGTTCCTTTTGATTCACCCCATTATAAAACATCTTTCTATCTTTATGATGTTTGGTTTGTATAAAAACATTGATCAACACTTAATACAGTTGATTAACTTTTCTTTTAAACTTGAATATTTAATGAATGTTTTATTTATTTATTTTTTTTATTTTTATTTTTTAGGGCTGGGAAGAAAGAATGCGTTATCTTTATCCATTGCGACTGATCAATGATCAGCTGTTAAATAAAATTTCACTTAAATTGAAACATGGCTCTGGTTGTATTGATGTTTGCAGAGAGCAAAAGGTAAATGTCACTTTTTCATTCTTTTTAGTCTTGTTGTACTACGAACCTATTTTAAGTTAGATTACCTCCTGGGTGAAGAATACTTTCAAAGAAACAAAAAAAAAAAAAAAAAAATCACAAGATACACAAATTGTCATGACACAATTTTAGAGAAAGTGCTCATTTTAGCTGAACATACCATCATATCTAGAAGGGAGATCAGTCTGAAATTAATTTTCCAAAGAGACTTCTATCTATAGAATATTGAATAACCAGATTAGTGCTTTGCTGTATTGTACGCTCTCTACTCACAGAGGTTAGAAGAGCTGGTACATGTAACAAGCTGGAATGTTCTATTCTGCCACTTAGGCAATCCCATTCTCTGAGTCCCGGTTGGCTGTTGGTTCTAGTGTGAATATTGTGATAAATAAATATCCATCATTCACCATTATGTTTGCTTGAGTATAGAGCTATGTTGAATTACAGCTCACTCCTGTCTGCCAACTGGATGCTAGTTTGGAACCTTCTTATGAAGGTGAGTATTGCATTGATTCTAGATTTTTTCTAGTTCAATGCATACCAATTCTATACTGTCCCAAATTTGGAAATTTAACCAAAATGAAAATTCCACAAAGCACAAAACAAAAATGGATGTGATTTGTGACCTAATGCATGGATTTGATTTAAATATGTTGAATATATAACTATGTTTAGTTTAATGTATAACTAATCATTTAACTTTGCTTTTCCAAACATGTACCATCCTGGGTATGACGATAAACTATGTCCAACAGCAAGGCCTCTAATCAGGAGGTTTTGAAGAGCATGGAACCACCTCTGAATTGCTTGTGTTTCCTGTCCTGGGGTGGTATCACTTGCTAGGGTCCCAACTATGGGTAAATAGCTAACCCCCTGGGGTCAAAACACTATGAAAGTGTAAAAATATCTTTTAATACCAGAAATAAATTATAAAAAATCATTACCAGCAATTCATTTTTGAAAAAAGAAAAATATTACCAGCGATACATTTTTGAAGGAAAAAAAATATTACCAGCAAAAAAAAATTATCGGCATTAAATAATCCATTGTGGTTGATATCCCATAAAACAAACCAAACCAAAACCAAAGATGTAATGATAAAATTATAAAAATTAAAGAGTACCAAAGTAACACCAAAATCATTAGTGTGAATAAGTATCATAAGTAATTTCTGATTTTTTTTTTTTTTTTTGAACCAGTTGTAATCTTTTGAAGAATAAAGTCGATAAACAAAAAACAGAACGTCCTGGGTAAGATGATAAAATACATCTGCGTCCTGGGTAAGATGATAAACTACATGCAACAGCAAGGCCTCTTCAGGAAATTTTGCAGAGTGCACAACCACCTCTTAATTGATGGTGTTCCCAGCTCCACTCTGACCTGGGGTGGTAGCACCTGTCAGGGTCCCAGCTATTAGCAAATAGCGAACTCCCTAACAAAAAACAAAACAGTATAAAAATACATTTTTATAATAAAAATACTAGCAATACATTTTTATATAAAAAAAAATTACCAACAATACATTTTTAAAGCAGAATTATCAACAATAAATTTTATAGCAAAATGACCAACAATACATTTTATCTGTAGTTGAAATCATAAAACTGTTCCAAATATTTAGATTTTGGCATTAAATAACCCATATTCCTATACGCAAGTCACCACTCTGCCACTGGGTGGCATGCCACTAACATTTACTGCTGGTGGCGCACTGTCACATATTTGATGGCGTGTTCCTCTCAGCAATGTCACCACTGGTAGACTGTTCTTGGTACACCGGTGATGCTGGAGGCTGCCACTAGAAGACTGCTGACATTGTCATAAGTGGCCAGCCAGTAGGCCACTAGCAGCTTGTGTATAGGGTATGCTGCTAAACAAAATCAACCAACCAACCCAAGAGAATACTTTATTGACAACAACAATCTTGGTCAATTGTTATCTATCCTATTCATCCTCCTAATGCAATCTTACTTGCTTCCTTACAACGGTCTCACTCAGTAATCCTCTACCTTGATTAACTCTTTGGCCTTGTATTGAATTAACTCACTGCTGTAGGTGATACACCCATAGGCAAATGGTCTGAAATCAGAGAGGTCCACGGTGCTGTGCCATGTCTCAAAGTTTGAACCATTGTACTAAGTCTGAGGAGTCCATTATTTTCTATTACAGCTCAAAGTAGTAGGGCCAATTTCTTTCTTCAAGATGACATGTGAGATGGATTTGCTTTTGGAGTTACCTTCTTCAAGCCTTTTTTCCTAAAGAGGCAAGCCCTACAAGAGTTGGACCTGACTGCTTTTGAATTCAGTTTTCCTTTCTTCTACACCGGTTGCCACTGAAGGCTATAGAACCCAGTCTGTTCTGCTATTTACTCATAGCTGGGAGGGTGAGAACCTTTCCCAAGGGTATTAGCATGTAAGTGACTTTAATGAGCTCAACTTGAATTTGAACTTGGCTCTCTGCTTTCTTAATCAGAGTCGCAATCCATTACTCTGCCATACCTCCACATTTGGTGGACTAAGTGAAAAAAATGTAATTAATAAATTGTGTCTAAAAGTACTAGAGCAGTCATGCTCTCTTTTGATGTCTCAGTTACTGATGAGTCAACTTGTTTGCAGGACATTCTGTTCCTCATTGGTTTTGTTGATAAACCATATTGAGATAAACCTATTTATCTTCATTATTTTGATAAGGCTGTGGTCATGTGTGAATCCACTTTGGTGAAAAATCCAGATCCCCAAAACTTTTAGCAACAAGAAAATTAAAAAATTATTGGTCAAATTTGGAACAATAACCTCGGATTACTGCCCTTTGATTTTCACTTAGCAACTTAAAAAATATTTTTTTTAAATGTACAGGTTTCATTCAATGCTTTAAAAATAAAATAAATCTTAACATAGTCAACTTATACGTTTGTTTGAACCGTCCACTTTTGAAAAAGAAATATTTAATACAAGTTCTGCTCAGTCATGGAAATCGATAAGTGGCTGACTGTTATACAATGAGCCAAAATTTAATCCACATGGACTATTACTTTAATAAATATTATCATGAACATTTGTACTAAGTATTGGAAAGCAAATTCACTGAAGCATTACAGGAATACTCACCAAGAAAATATAAAATGGATGCAAATTGCAGGCCTCAGTATCATGACTTAGTCAATGTTGTTTTGTTTATTTTCTCAGAAGTGAGTTAGCTGCACTGTTGGCTTATGTTGAAGCACCAGTTCTCGTATGATCACCAAAGTTAAACAACATTGAGATTGGTGAGTAGCTAAATGGGTGGGAATGCCAGGTGCTGTAAGTTTGGGGGTGTGCAGGTGGTGTAATGAATAACAGAAATAGGAGAGCTATGTTCCAAATTTCAGTCAGGTTTGTTATATTCACTTAGGTGCAAATTCCCTTGGAAAAGGTATGAATTCACCTCTTCCCCTCACATATGGGTTAATTAGTAATACTTGTATCACTAAATCATTATCTCTCAAAAAAATTCTTAAAATCTAAAAATATTTTCTAGTTTTAAAAAAACCTTCAAAAGGTTGATAAGCTGTAAAAAAAAAACAAATCACTTGATGAATACACTATTCTGATATTTGTTTCTGCCTCCCCTTTGGAGAAAGTGTTTAGTTTTGTATACCATTGAAGAGAAAATTGATTGAATTTACCAAAAATATGGTATTTCTTGGAGTACAAATTGTCAGAAGAGTATAAAGTGAGGGTTGAAATATAGTTTTGATAAAAAAAAAAATAATGCTGAAATAATTTCATCCCTTCTTTTTAGGAGATCTTGTAATACTTGAGGGTTTGTTATATATAATTTCACAATCAAATAATACATCATAAAAGACGAAAGATTGAACTTTAGTTTAAAAAAACTTTTATGTGAATTGGTCTATTATATCCAGTTTCCCTTTTCCCACTGCGGACATCTGATGTTCCTGTAATGGACTTTACAATTCACCCCTGTACATAGATATCATTGTTGAACTCGACAGACCAACACTACATATTGAGTTAAGTTGAAAGAAAATTGCCAGTTCTGTGAATGTGTGTAATTACAATGTTGATGGCTGCTGCTGCTACCTACTTTGACCCACATTAATGTCAATTGTCCCTAAAATGAGGCATATTAATGAATTAATAATAATTTAATAATCTATAATGCAAACTTCTTATGCATGAAAATTTATACATCAACTATTGTAAAATTTAAAATACTTTTTCTTAAAATGGAAACAGTACAATGCTGTCATCGGTGTTTAATTTTGTCAGTTGTCAGCAGTCAGGTTGTCATGTTTGCCAGGGTTTACTGTAATAGGTTACAAGCAGAATCTTGTGGTCATCAAAGCTTTACAGTTAGTTGGTTACCAACTCATTGTTTAGAGAAGTTGTTTACTGACAGGACTAAATAGTCATCTTAGTTGTAGTACTCTTTTTTATCTTTTATTTTCTCAACAAGAAAATCACAATTTAACAAGGCCATGCAACTGAGTACTTAAGTTTTGTGTTTGTGGGACTTGCAAAATCTTTGTATTCTCATCCAAGAAATAACCTTTTGTTGACACCTGACATGGAAAGCCTAACAATTCAAAATACACTCTGTCTGAAGTTATTGTTGTTGTCATCAGTCACTTGATTATTTCAGTCGTTGGGTAGGTGGGTGTTTGTTTCAAAATCAGAAGAAACAGACTTTTGATTCTTCTTCTTCATAATCCTTTCAGTGAGTTTTCTGATAGCTTGGCAGCACCCATCTCCTCTCCAAAAAAAAAAAAAAACAAGTTATTATGCAAATCACATAAACATCAATAACTCTCAAATTTGCTTTGAACAATTTTTGTCTATATTTCTGAGATGAGGTATTGTAATTATTTACAATAAAGGACATATAGCCCCGTGGATAAAAGGATTGGTTGAATCCAGTGACTTGACCCAAAGAGTTGTGAGTTCAATACCAGGCCACAGCAGTGGTGAACAAAAACTTGG